TGAATACATTTTTTTCTAAGAATGGGTGTACAAATGTATATTGATGTGTAATTTCAACAAGAAACTTGGAAGAATAAATAAAAAAACTTTAATGATTGTCTATAGGGAACATAACAGTAGATACAAAGAAGAAAAATAAATTTATGGCTGCTTATTTTTTTCTTTTTCCTTTTTTAAGATTGTTTGTACTTGGGAAGAATTGTGGAGTAAAAGAGCCTTGTGAGCCCTATCAGCTAAATGTGGTGAACAGATCTCAATACAAGTGCTGCAACTTGAAAAAAGGTATTTTTGACACAGAGAAATTTGAATACAGAAGTTATTAGATGATATTAAGGAATTATTATGTTTTGGATGTGACAATCATCATAATGTGGTTTTTATTTTTAGAAATGCCTCACCTACTGAAGTTATAAATTGAAGTATTTATGGAAAAATAATATTATATCTTGGATTTTGCATATTGCAGTAAGGGGTAAAAAGTGAAAAGGGAAGAATTGATATCTTAAAAGCCTTCAAATTATACACACGTATGACCATCAATTACATTCTGGAATGTATCATAAATGTATACCTATGAATGTATATAAAGATTTAACTAGAGAAACATTTATTCTGATAATTTTGAGAAGCACAAATACCTGGAAATACCCTGTGCCTAAATAATTTAATTAATTAAATAAATCAAATATGCTGAAATTACGTTGAAAAAGAATTTTTATAAATTGAATGGAAAAGTCACATTATTACTAATTGAAGAAAATAGTTTATAAAATAATAATATAACCCACATTTTTGTTAGCAAAAATTATTTAGGAAAAATAGAAAATGTTTTATAAGTGTTTGTAGTATAATCTTTGGGAGGTCAGAATTTAGGTAACTTTTACTTAAAATCAATATTGGTGGCTTATCCTTATCTTTTAAAGTACATATGTTACCTTTGCAAAACAATAATTATTAAAGAAAAAGGCAACTCTGTGTAAGGCAATCAATGTCTGAAAAATCATAGAAGAATGGAAAAAAGAATGGAAAGATTGAGATATTTGCGAGGGAAAAACGTTTTAAAGAAATGAAGAACCAGTACTGTCCTGTAAATTGAAATAATTTTTTAACATGAGTGATGTAAGATTCTTTACTCTGCAAAAATCGTTTCTCACTGTGAGATTTCTGACACATTGATCTTAGACCTTTAGGAGAAGAAATAATATTTCATTTTGCTTGATCCATAGAACCAAGTACAGGGCTGGGAGGTTTACGTAAAGCGTAGGATATTGTTGAAAGATTTGTCAACTTAATTTCCCCTATTCATAAACTAGATTCCCTCCTGGTACCCTGTACACCACCATGGCTCCAGGAAGGGGAGCAGGCCAAATGCCACCTGGGAAGGAAGAGCTATGATACCTGGGGGAAGAAGTGCTTGCCAAACAGGAAGAAACTGAGAGGGTGTCCTTTTCCCTCCAAGAGAAGAGAAACAAGAGAGAAAAAGAATCAGACAGGAAGACTAATTTATTTTGACCCCCCCTCCGGGGTTAAGCCCCATAGCTATAAAGCATATTTTATTGTTGAAGAAAAGCTGGAAAAAAGAGCTTTGCCCTCCTCCCATTAAGAACTTTGAAGGAAGAGACAGTGTCCACAAGGTAATAAAAGTAGTGCCATCACATGGTTAAGCCAGGAGCATTTGATTTATCTCTTTACTTCCTACTCCTCCCACCCCACTCCAGCCAGTCTTCAGCCACAATTCCATCTGTAGAGAACTCCAACATTCCCATCAGCCCTAAGAGATGCCTGAGATTTCTGGAGGAAAAACTTGCCAGAGGAAGTCACCTGAGTGATGGTGTTTTGCTGCATGTGCCAAAGCACTTTCTCCTTGGCACTTCTCAAGCATGCTTTTGAAAGAAAAAGAGCCAGGGGATCCCTGGGTGGCGCAGCGGTTTAGCGCCTGCCTTTGGCCCAGGGCGCGATCCTGGAGACCCGGGATCGAATCCCACGTCGGGCTCTCGGTGCATGGAGCCTGCTTCTCCCTCTGCCTGTGTCTCTGCCTCTCTCTCTCTCTCTCTCTCTCTCTCTCTCTCTCTCTGTGTATGACTATCGTAAATAAATAAAATTTAAAAAAAATATTAAAAAAAAAAGAAAGAAAAAGAGCCAACCTATAGGAGGCGGCCCAAGTACCCAAGGATGCCCAAAGCACAGGCAAAGTAGCCAGGAGAGGTTTTGACAAGTTCCACCAACCTTGGATTTTGTCAAGACCCTAGAAGGAATATGACTGGCTGTACCTTGGAAGACATTATGTTAAGAGTATTAAACAATTTAGTGATTATTGCATGCTGCTTATTATCCCCCCCCAAAAAAAGGTTAATTACAGGATATTTTCCCCCAATGTATCTGCTTCTAGTATTAGTTTTTATTTATTTATTTTTATTTTTTTTTATTCAAGATAGACGGAGAGAGAGAGAGAAAGAAAGAGGCAGAGACACAGGCAGAGGGAGAAGCAGAGGGAGAAGCAGGCTCCATGCTGGGAGCCTGATGTGGAACTCGATCTGGGGACTCCAGGATCGCGTCCTGGGCCAAAGGCAGGCACTAAACCGATGAGCCACCCAGAGATCCCCTAGTATTAGGTTCTTAAAAATATTTAGGATATTAGAAGATATGAATATACTTTATTGAAAGTATAGCTTCTTTGATCAATGTTTTTGGGGAAAATGTGGGTTATAATGAATTATGTATAAATATTCAGAGAATAAGGAAGGTTTTTAAAATGAAAATTAAAAAAAATGAATATCTTGAGCCTTTGAGATGTTGGAAATCACTTGGAGCTACCCACCAATTATCTGCTACTTTTTTCTTTTTTGCTACCTTTTTTTTTTAAAGACTAACATAACTTGATAAAATATTATCTGGGTTGAATAAATGAAGTTGCAAAGTGAAGTATCAACAGTGTGAGGCTAGTTTATATTTGGGAGATGCTTTTTGAACATTTCAGACTTTAGACTTTTTGCCAAAAAATGTTCATTTTTTTTGGAATAACATTAAATATATCTGGCTGGACTTTAATAACAACACACACGGAGGAAGAGAACTGACCAAGGGAGCCCATTCTCTTGAAATTATCTCAGATATTTATTTACTAAGATCTAGACTCAAATATATATTAAGACTAGAAAAAGTCAATCTTCGGAGTCAACATATCATAATTCTTCAACAGTTATTAATAAAATTCTACCATGTTTTTTTAAAAGGCTCTTTTAAAGGGACATGTCATGGGTTAAAGAGTAAATGGGGGCCGGGCGGGGCACGTTCAGAAAGATAAAGATTAAAGTTCCTTGAGCTGGTTACACTGGATCTGTGTGAGGTTATGTTTCTGTTTTCACAATCATCCAATGCATTTGCTTCACTGATTTATCCAACCCTTCTTATGTGTCAGATACCTGGGGAGCACGGGGCAACACAGACATGGTTTTTGCCCTTATGGAGTTTTTAATCTAGTGGGGTGATGGTGGGAACGTTATCAGATCTCTGCAAACCAAGTAAGAAAGGCTCTAAGGAATTTGGGGCAGGATGGCTATGAAGTTCTTCCCGAGGGAATAGGACTTGCAGACTCAACAGCAAAGAAGCAAACAATCCAATCATGAAATGGGCAAAAGACACGAACAGAAATCTCACAGAGGAAGACATAGACATGGCCAACACGCACATGAGAAAATGCTCCGCATCACTTGCCATCAGGGAAATACAAATCAAAACCACAATGAGATACCACCTCACACCAGTGAGAATGGGGAAAATTAACAAGGCAGGAAACCACAAATGTTGGAGAGGATGCAGAGAAAAGGGGAACCCTCTTACACTGTTGGTGGGAATGTGAACTGGTGCAGCCACTCTGGAAAACTGTGTGGAGGTTCCTCAAAGAGTTAAAAATAGACCTGCCCTACGACCCAGCAATTGCACTGTTGGGGATTTACCCCAAAGATTCAGATGCAATGAAACGCCGGGACACCTGCACCCCGATGTTTATAGCAGCCATGGCCACAATAGACAAACTGTGGAAGGAGGCTCGGTGTCCATCGAAAGATGAATGGATAAAGAAGATGTGGTTTATGTATACAATGGAATATTCCTCAGCCATTAGAAATGACAAATACCCACCATTTGCTTCAACGTGGATGGAACTGGAGGGTATTACGCTGAGTGAAGTAAGTCAGTCGGAGAAGGACAAACAGTGTATGTTCTCGTTCATTTGGGGAATATGAATAATAGTGAAAGGGAATATAAGGGAAGGGAGAGGAAATATGTGGGAAATATCAGAAAGGGACACAGAACATAAAGACTCCTAACTCTGGGAAACGAACAAGGGGTGGTGGAAGGGGAGGAGGGCGGGGGTGGGGGTGACGGGCACTGAGGGGGCACTTGGTGGGATAAGCACTGGGCGTTATACTATATGTTGGCAAATTGAACCTCATTAAAGAGAGAGAGAGAGAGAGAGAGAGAGAGAGAGAGAGAGAGAGGCAGTAATAAATCCTGCAGGAGAAGGGGTGTTGACGCGCCAGCCAGAGGGGACCTGCCTGAACCAAAGACCTGAGAACCTGTGTCTGGAAAACCCAGAGCACAGAATGTGGTCCCAATACTGGAGCACAAAAAAATCTGAGCAAGATGTGCATCCGAAGTGCTGTAGGATGCTTTCGGTAGTCCGATATTTATTCTAAGACAGGGTCTACGAAGAGGTGATCTGCAGATGCATTTCTTGCTTGCGCTTTTTGGGCAGCATTTTTTTTTTTTTAAATTTAGGCGGGGCATACATTCTGGAATTAGAGGCCGCCTATTCCCATCGGCCTCACAAACGTTCTCTTGTGTGATCCCTGAAGAAAAGCAGTTTGCTCGCTTTTCTCAAGGATGCTTAGATTTTTGTACTTAAAATAGCACGAAGGAGCAGCCGCAGAGCGAACGGAGCCAGCGCTTTGCAACCCCAGCGAGCTCTGCGCCTGCGCACACAGAGCCTGCCCGGGGGCGGGGCGGGGGGAGGAGAGGAGGAGCGCCGCGCCGGCGTCCACTGCGCATGACCGCCCTCGTTGCCAAGGCAGCCGGGAAGGCGTGGCCCGGAAGAGGAGCCCCGCTGTGTCTGCGGGGAGACCCGACCGCCCAGGGCTCCGGCCTAACTGGATCAAAGCTGAGAAGCGGAGCGTGATGCAGAGCGATAGCCCGCCGCCTAGGAGCCCCGGCTTGAGAAGAGCAAGGGGAACTGGCGCACACGGACGTCGGGGCGATGGCCGACCCTCCTGACGGGCCCTTTGCTGATGGGGCGCAGAGGTCCAGCTCCTCCAGCTCCCCTGCAGGACTGCAGCCCCGGGCCCGTGCCTCTGGGAGCCCGCCTGAGCGGGGAAGGGCCGCGCACGTGGAACATGGAGACCAACAAACCGAGCTCTCGGGCTCCAAAAATAATGAAACGACGTTCATTAGAAAATGGATCCGCTATCTCAGGGGCCAAGGAACGAGCTCCGGACAGTACCGATCAGACGCTCGACGCCAAGCAGGAAGCACTCCGGTACCTGATGAGGAGCTGAATGCCCTCCAGGCTTTCTGTGCCGTTAAGATAAACCTGATCCAGCATAGAGCGAACCCTAAGGAGAAAAAGAGCAGCGGACGTCAAAAGCCACAGCTTAGATTGGAGGCCGGGGCTTCAGAGGGAGATGCCTTAACCTGTACGGTCCCCGATGAACTCGTGAACAGAATCTACTTAAAAAACATGAGGACAGCACCCAAACAGGGGGCGACGGCCAAGCAACACATTTCTTGGCGGTGTCTCCATTGCAACAGGAAACGAGCAGAACTGGCGCAAGCTGCCTTTCTGAGACAAAAAAAGACTCTCCTGGAGTCCCTTCTACTCCAAGACAAAATAGACAAGCATCTTTACACCAAAGACCTTCTTACCCTTATTGGAGACGCCCATCGGGGTCTTCCCAGGCTTTCAGATGACCCCAGAATAATCTGGAAGAGACTGAATGAGCAAAGTCAGATCAGACACTCTGGTTTTGAAAGGTCAGATACAGAGCAGGTGTGGAGGAATGAGACACGTGCTTGTCACTTAAACCTTTTCTCCACCACTTGACCAAACCACTGTAACCGGGAGATAGTATTTATTCATGATAATGTGTAATGTGGATATACATGTTTCTGTTGTGTCTTTGAATAACCCTCATTTTTGCAGGCACTTTGGAAATGAAGGCTTTACTTTGCTTCCTTCTCCGATAACTGGACTAAAAATTTGCCACTCAGTACATTTTTTTTTTCCAGATTATAGGTGGCAACACTATGGTTGGTGTACTACGACGTTCTTACAACAACCCAGGAGAGAGATGTTGGCAGTGGAGACTAGGGTTTTGACAATACAGGTAGAAAGAAGTTCGGAGATGTAAGAGGTATTTGGGGAGTAATGATTGACAATGTCTGGTGAGGAAATGGATATGGGATTTAATAAAAGGTAAATGTTAAGAATGTGACTAAGTTTCTGACTTGTGCCCTTGGGTGAAAGATATCTTGTCATTAAGATGGGAGCATTGGAAAAGGATCTCGTTTGATGGTAGTGATTGAGAATGTGATTATTTGGATATGGTTAGTTTAAGGTATATTTGAGACATCCACACTGAGAGGTTGAGAAACAGAGGTTGAGGTTGGGTATTTGTGGTTGCAGTCTAGAGAAGAGGGCAAGCCTAGAGATTTGAGATAAAGCACTGGGCGGAATCACTGATCTATAGTTGAAAATTGAAGTCATGGGTATGATAAGCTTTCCTAGAAGAGAGCAGAGTGAGAGAGGAGGGGCTAGGAGTAACCTCTAGAAATTCAGCAACTCCTGGCTGGGTGGAAGAGAATCAGCCAGCAAGGGAGGTTGAGAAGAAATTATTAGAGAAGGGTAAAGGAAACCAGAAATGTGTGTTACAGAGATCAAAGAAGGAGAACATTCCAGAAAGGATGGGCTAAGTATGCTAATAATGCAAGGAGAGTTCCTGTGAGATAAGTTAGTTAAGCGTTGGACTCTGTTGGCCTTAGCAACAACAGCCACTTCACTTATGGAAACTGAGCAAGGTGGACTGAGGAGTGAATGTAAGGAGAGGACTATGAATGCACACTACTAGAAGTTTAGCTGTGCAGGGAGAGAGGGGGTAGCTGGAGGTAGATACAGAATTGAGGGAAGAAAGCTTGAAGAGAATGCTCTAAAAAGTGATTTTGTTCGTAAAGGTTTTATGGAACTTTTCTTGTTCGTCTAATGAAACAATATTACCCCCTGGAAAATACCGTGATATTTTGAAAATACATTTATGGGGAAAGTGTTAAATGGCATTCTGAGAAGTCATATCTGTTATTTCTGTATAAAAATATGAATGCTAGAATTAGCGACAGTGTCTGGAGGTTATTGTTCTACATGTCTAACACCGAAGCTTTCGCAGTCAAAAATAAATTTGTAAAAATCAGCACAAAATATTTTTTGTATCATATTCCAATTATACTCTTTAAGTTTAGACCTTCATTTATGTACAAAGATACTGTTCTGTCCTGTAGAATTTAGCATATTTCCTCTTAGTAAATCATTCCTAAATAAAATGGAGAATATTACCATTTTCATAGTAACTTTTTATTTGAAATCCACCTTATGTCATGCCTTATCTTTGCCATCTCAGTATATTCACATTTCACATAACCAAAATTCTAAATAATTTCCTGTTTCGGATTCCCCATTAAAGGTCATAATCCACCCCTCTTTGTCAACTAAGCTAGAAATTTTAGAATCATTATTTGTTTCTCCTCTTTTTTATTTATTGCCCAAGCTAACTTTTCCGGCAAGACCATTGGATCATTCCTTTTGAGTATCTTCTGACCATGACTTTTTATTTCCATCTTGTTACCACTTTCCTCATCATCTCAGCCCTCTTGTTCCTGGCTTCTTTCCTCTTCACTCCATTACCTACACTGTCTGTTTTTCTAACACACAGACTTGTTCAAGTTAGTCCCTTGATTAAAAAAATAAGAAATGATTTATCAGTGCAATAGAAATAGCTTGAATTAATTAATGCCATATGAAGGTTCCTTCGTATCTGGTCCATGTTCATTTATCTAAGCTCATTTTGTACCTGTCCCCTGACGCTCCCATATTTGAGCCTCTACACGAAATTTGCACTTCCCTGAGCAATCTTGTTTTTTTTGTGCCACTAGGGTTTACAAGTATACATTTGTTTTGCTCAAATTCTCGTAATCGTCTTTTATAGCTGGTATACTTTTTAAATTTTTTTATATTTCACCATAGTAAATAGGTAATACAGTCACATGATTCAAAAAATCAAAGGGGTGTTTCAAGGTTTAGTGTGTACTTTCCCTGCCACCCTATAACCATTGCACTTCTAGGCTGGCCTGCCAGATCCCTGCCTGCTTGAGTTAACCTTTTCCTGCTGGATCATGAGACAATCAGGCATCCCAGGATGAGAGCAGAGGTAGAAGAAATTCAAGGAATTGGGGAGTGGCCACTTGCCAATTGGGACAGGGTATTCTCTTTTTATTTTAAGATTTTATTTATTTATTCATGAGAGACACAGAGAGAGAGGCAGAGACACAGCCAGAGGGAGAAGCAGACTCCCTGTGGGGAACCTGATGTGGGACTTGATCCCAGGACCCCAGGATCATGAGCTGAGTCAAGGGCAGACGCTCAACATCTGAGCCACCCAAGTGTCCCAGGACAGAGAATTCTTATATTTTAGCCAATACAACCTAACTAGTGTGTATGAGCTGAATATTCATGTTAACTCTAAGTAGGCACTTATATTAGTTTCTTATATCTTTCCAGTGTTTATGTAAATATAAACACCAAAGATAATTTATGAGATACTCTCTTTTGTACCTTGTTTTTTTTCCCCCTGTGATAATATATGTGTATATAAATCATAAGGTTTTCTATTTTAGCCATGGCGAATTGTACTATTCAGTGGCATTATTTACATTTACAATGTTGTGCAAAAAGTTTCTTACCACCCCAAACAGAAACTCCAGATCCATTAAGCAATAACCTCCTTCCCTATTCTATCCTCCTCCCAGTCCCTGGTAACCTCTAATGTACTTCTGTGTCTACGAATTTGCTCATTCTTGATATTCCACGTAAATAAAATCATATTTGTTCTTTTGTGTCTGGCTTATTTACTGAACATTGTTTTTAAGTTTCTTTCATATTGTACCATGTATTAGAATTTCATTCTTTTTTATGGCTGAATATTATACCATTGTGTGCATGTACATTACATGTATATTTATTCGTTCATCAGCTGATGGACTCTTGGGTTGTTTCCACTTTGGGTTATTGTGAATAATGCTGCTATGAATATCGGCATACAAAGATCTGTTTGAACACCTATTTTCAAGTCTTTGGGGTCCATACCTAAAAGTAGAATTGCTGAGTCACATGGTAATTCTGTTTAACTTTTTGAAGAATTGCCAAATGGTCTCCACAGCAGTTACAGCACTTTACATTCCACCAGCAACGTATAAGAGTTCCAGGTTTTCTGTGGCTTTGTCAACACTTGTTATTTTCCATTTTTTGAGAATTATAAGCATCCAAGTAGGTGTGAACTAGTATCTCATTTTACTTGGATTTGCATTTTGCTACTGAGGTTGAGCATCATTTCATGTGATTATAGGCCATATGTATGTGTCATCTTTGGAACAATGTCTATTCAAAGACCTCTGCCTGTTTATAAATTGGGTTGACTATTTTGTTGACTTGCAAGGGTCATTTGTATATTCTGGATATGAAACTCTTATCTGATTTGCAAGTATTTTCTCCTGTTTTGTGGGCTGCCTTTTCAGTCTCATAATAGAATTCTTTGGTGCATAAAAGTTTTTAATTTTAACAGAGTCAAATTTGTCTATTTTTTCTTTTGCCGTTTGTGCTTTTGGTATCATATTTAAAAAACCATTGCTAATAGGCAATGTATATTTGTCCCTGTGTTTTCTTCTAAGTGTTCTAATGGTCTTAGGTATTATACTTAGGTCTTTAATCCACTTTAAGTTATTTTTTTAATTTATGGTGTGAAATAAACCTTCATTATTTTGCATTTGAATATCCAGTCTTTCCAGCACAATTATTGAAGGGACTGTTCTTCCCCATTGCAAAATCTTGGCATTCTTGTAAAAAATCAGTTCACCATAAATGTGAGGGTTTTTTTTCTGCACTCAGTTCCATCCCATTGATCTATATGTCTACCTTTATCATGGTGCCACAATGTTTCATTACTGTGCTTTGTAGTTAGTTTTGAAATCAGTAAGTGTGAAATCATCTCTGTTATTCTTTTTCAAGACTGTTTTGGCTATTCTGTACTCTTAAGATTCCATACAAATTTTAGGATGGGGGTTTTTCTACTTTTGTCATAAACATTATTGGAATTTTGATAGGGATTACACTTAGTGTGTAAATTGCTGTGATAATATTGTCATCTTAACTATATAAAGTCTTCCAATCCATGCCCAAGATGTCTTTTAATTAATTTAGGTCTTCTTTAATTTCTCTCAGCAATGTTTTGTAGTTTTCAGTGTGTAAGTTGTGTGCTTCCTTTGTTGAATTTATTCCCAAATACTATATTTTATTCCCTTGTTTTCTATTGTAAATGAATTTTTTTCTAATCCAGTGTCTTTTTGGATGTCCACTGCTAGTGCAGAAAAATACAACAGATTTTTGTACATTGATTTCATATCCTGAAAGTTTGCTTGAATTCATTTATTTGCTCTAACATTTTAAAAAATGGATTCTTTAGGGCTTCCTAGCTGTAATATTATGTCATCTGTGAACAGAGATAGTTTCACTACTGTCTTCTAATTTGGATACCTTTTCTTTTCCCCTTGCCTAATTGCCCTAACTCTAACTTCCAGTACTATAATGAATAGAAGTTGTAAAAGCAGGCATCCTTGCCTTGTCCCAGGTGTTAGGGGAAAAGCTTTCAGTCTTTTACCATTGAGTATGATATTAGTTGTGGGGTTTCTTGTTTTTGTTTTGTTTTGTGTTTTTTAATAAACGACTTCTTACGTTGAGGAAATTCCCTTCTAAATGTATCAAATGTTTTTACCATAAAAAAGTTGGATTTTGTCAAATGATTGTTTTTTTTTCTGTATCATTGAGATGATCATTGTGTGGTGTACTCTTTGACCTCAAACCTTATCTTCATCACATTCATCTCATAGCCCTAAAATAATGACTAGTCAGAATTAATTACGCTCCTAAGGCATTAATATAGCTTCACATTATGATGCTTGAGCCTTAATATATTTTACTTCCTTACTTGATTGTGAGCATCTCAAGTGTAGAGACTTCTACTGTGTCTATGGTACTTAGCACAGTAGAGCATGATGGTGTAAAACAGAAGTTTTATGGATGAAAAAATAAATACATCAAAATCAGGAGATTTAATGTCTTTTGCACAAAATAAGAAAAATAATCTGCTGGCATATTCTTTTGTGTCAACATTTTGCTTTTGTGTTGTTGTTTTCTATAATTTTTCTTTCTCTTTTCATGGATTGGATTCCCCTTTTGTTGTTTTTTGTTTTTGTTTTTTTTTTTTTTTGGATTCCCTTTTATCATGAATATACATATATTTCCCCAGGGGCAAATTAGCAGAATGTTTTTAATAAGACATCTTTCCAGAAGTATGTGACCAATTAATACAGAATTCATTTTATAGAATATAAAAATATTTCTTTGGAATCCACATTTTCAGATAGACAAAAATCATCCGAATTATTAATTTTAAAGATAATTCATGACTCTCTGCAACTTTGAAGGTTGGTAAAAATTCTTGCTGCTAAGCTTGAACAAAATATTTTATTGTCTCTGAATAAATTCAAAAGGAATGAATATCCTTTTTCCAAACTCTTTATAGCTGCACTCAAGAGAATCCAGTACAGCTGGAAAGGAAAGTCCATCAGATCAAATGCTAAGAAACCACATATTTCCCCAATGCACTAAAAATGTATCCAGCAACTTGGAGAGGATTATACAAATATGGAATTTATGTAGTTGTAATATACAGATTATATAAATATGCATCTATTTAGTTTATGTTTTGTCATCTAGAACTTTTATCAAAAAATTCTGCATCTGCAAATCTCTACGCATATAACAAACATTGTAATAATGAAATTCTTGAAACAGAAGTAAATGATGTGCCAGACTTGAGAGGAAAGAAAGTTCAGTTCTGAACATCTGAGTCATTTGAATTCCAATCTCAGAACTGTTTAGGAATGTTTGGGACACCCAGCTCAGAATACCTCCAGTTTTAAACATATTAGTTTATTTCATGTTGAAACCTAATATAGTAACTTAGTTGTTTCTGCAGCAGCATAGTTTAACAACTTGCAAGGAAATAGGAATTGTGGCTCTATGTAGGTGTGGGTACTCCCCTAATTTTGTCTGTAATTGACAGATGAAAATTACACACACAAATAGTTAATTTAAGAAACAAAAGGAAAAGACAGCTGAACTTTTATTCTTAGTCGATAATACCCTTTGGAATAAAGAATTCAGAAATTTTCCAATTTGCAACAGACTCAAATTACGGAGAAAATGCAAAACTCTATCTGAGTGACTCAAATAATGCTAAAGCCTGGTTTTGTTGAGCTCTCTGTTTGTTGAGTTAATAACCGAGGTTTAGGAGAAAGTACGCTGTGGATCACCCTACCAAAAACTCGCTTTGGATGTCAAGATTGATGACCCCACACAGTGTCTGAGAGGGGATGAAAAGGTTTATTATTCACACAATGAGGGCTTTTTGAGGGCACATAGGGCAGGCTCCCAAGCAGATCTAAAAATGGCTCCAAAAGAGAGAAGAAACTGGCTTGGTTTTTCTAGTGATTAGAGTGGGACTGAGGTAAGGATTCCCACCTGTGGGCTGGGACTAGCATGGTTTGAATTTCCTGCCAGTAACAAATGAGGGAACACCTGGGCTTCCATATTAGCTAGCCCAAACTCAGGGCAGAAGGGTAGGGCTTGAAACTTGACTATCAAACATCAAAAATAGAATCAGACTCTATTATAATCCATCTGTGATATCTGACTGGTGTATGGTATATGGAAATACACTATATTACATTTACTTGAATTTTATTTTGCTAAAGCATGCATAATAACAGCATGAAGCCTATAGCCTGCCAGATGAGGGCAGTGGAAGTTCCACTGGATACCTCCTTGTTCAAGAGCCCTGCATTGTTTATTTTTTAGAAGTGAAATGGTCACTTTTAACAATGTTCAGAGCTCCAAAGTGGATAAAGTGAGGCCTCTACCACGGCTTTAATATGTAACCTTGATTTACATTTTGAGTATCTGTAAGGCAAGAGATTCCCATAATTATGTTCAGCAAAGAGAGAAACTTTGGAAAAGTAATTGCTGTTGCTACCATTGGTGGAACCACTGGCAGTGGCCCAAGAATCCGTAAATATGCACAGATGGAGCCAATTGTTGACCAGGGTAACAGGACTACCTAAAGTTCAGCTCATTTTGCTACCCTTCTTTACCAAGGGTGTTCAAGTTGAGAAATTAAAAGTAGCAGCTTTCCAGTATGCTCCATTGTGGGTAGTTTTGATGCAGTCCATAAAGGATAAATATTCCCATTGCTGTTCACTCGTTTGATCAAAGGGTTACCCAAATAGCTAGGGATTCGAGGGAGAAGTAGCTTCCTCTAGCACCTATCAACGGGCAAGCCGCTGAGGACAGAAGAGCCTCCCTCTCCTATAGGTGGAATACTCCAAAGGGTCCAGACTTCACTGTATCTTATAGGTAACATTTCTGTCTTAACAAGGAGGCCATGCTATCTGTGCAGAGATTGTAGAACGCTGCCTCCACGATCAGAAAGATATGGAGATTCACAGGCTCAGGGCCTGTGAGAACCTCTGTTTCCAGAAGAGCTTGGTATGCAGTTGCCACTGTCATGGAACTTAGAAGGGTAGTTCTCCCCCCACCAAAAATCTATGGGTGGCCCAGAAATTTTAGGAAGTATGAGAAGTATGAAAGGAGCTTACTAAAGCCTCTTCAGTGAATAATTCTCTGGGGCAGTGAGAGGGACCACTAATGGAATGACTGCTGTATTGCAATTTGAACAGATTCTAGAGCTCTCTGTTATAGAGGGCCCCCAATTTGAGATGGGCCAATTTGTAAATGACAGCATAAATAG